AAATCCAGCTGTCATCTACCCAGTCTGGTTACAGTCACAGCATTTTATATGTACCATTACAGTTGTTAATTTATGTATTTATCTGTTCTAGATAATGAAATCTCTTTGAGGCTAGGGGAATGCAGGATGTGGGGACACAACCATGTCTTCCTCATATTTATAAACCATATGTTGAACATACTACATGTATAGAGTAATTCAATATTTGTTTCATAAATTCATATTATATCATCTATATAGACCCAGAGCTAAACCATGGAATGTCGTAAATTTCTCAACCTCAGCACTATTGACATTTCTGATCAGATTAATTCTTTATCATGGGGACCTGTTCTATGCATTGCAATATGGTTAGCAGCATCCCTGGCCTCTGCTCACTAGATCCCAGTGACAATGTCCTTTCCCCAACTCTGACAATCCCCAAATGTCTCCAGACATGCTAAATATGCCCTGGAGAGGGTAAAGTCATGCCTGATTGAGAACAACTAGGCCAGAAAATTTGGTTCTTTATCAAATTCCACAGAGTGAAAGAAGCCTTAGGTATTTGGTTTCTGGGTATTTGATTTTCAAGGGTTAGGATACTGGTAATGGGGAATAACCTAAAAGAGCAATTACCATCCAACCTCTTAAGAGAATTCAAAGCCATAAATGCTTATAAATTATAACGCCTCCACCACCAGGAATTGTTTGTTCCTACAGCATGTGCCCTGTAGGTGTTTTTGACCTGGAGAGGGAAGACGCAGAGAATCCTAAATTGATGACAACAATGACGACGACGACGCTGATGATGATTATGATGATGATGATGTCATGCTTGCATACCTCTTTACAGTTATGAGCTTTTGTATGTATTTTCCCAACTAGGTATATATTTCTCTCTCCTTTTTTTTAAGATTTTATTTATTTATTTGAAAGAGAAAGAGTTGGGGGAAGGGCAGAGGGAGAGAGATAAGCAGACTCACCACTGAGTGTGGAGCCTGATATGGGCCTCAATCCCAGGACCTGGGATCATGACCTGAGCTAAAGTCAGACCCTTAACCTACTGAACCACCCAAGTGCCCCTAAGTATATATTTCTAATGGAAAATTTTACTTCATTTTAATTTTTAAAAGATTTTCTTGTTTGTTTGTCTGAGAGAGAGAAAGATAGAGAGCACAAGCAGGGGGAGCAGCAGGCAGAGGGAGAAGCAGGCTCCCCACTGAGCAAGGAGCCTGATGCAGGACTCAATCCCAGGACCCTGGGATCATGACCTAAGCCAAAGGTGGATGTTCAACTGACTGAGCCACCCAGGCACCCCTCTGATGGTAAATTTTAAAGAGGAAGTAAAAACTAGTAAGGGACAAAACTGGAAACTGTAATTAATTGAGAGTATACTCCGCATGGTAATTGTACTTAACATATATAGATTATTCGGTGTCGAAGAAGGCATGTTCTGTAATTATCTAGTTGGACTAATGCCATGGTTTGTTCCTTTAGTTTATCAAATGACCTTTGGAAAGTGACAGAAGAGAGTGAATTCAGATATGAAAGGAAGAGAAGTAGTTAAGTCTTAAAAAGGCAAACTCTGAAAGGCAAACTGAATGACATCCAAAAATATCAAGTGTAGGAAGAGATCATATATGAATAAGAGAATGGAGGTAGCTAAAAAATTATTGTTGCACAGAATGAAAGAGTGATTGTTGAGATTATCAGCATTATGGACACAATGTAGGACAGAGAGAGCTAATTCAGTATTGAAGTCCATGGAACAATACATGAAAATAGCCCCGTGTAGCAGTTTCCCTCGGCTATAACAAATTACTGCACACTAAATAGTCTAAAACAATAGGAATTTATTCCCTCTTCATTCTGGAGGCCAAAAGTGTATAATCACGGAGTCAGCAGCACTGTACTTCCTCTGGAGGCTCTAGGGGGGAATCCATTTCCTGGCACTTGCAACTTCTGGAGATTGTTGGCATCCTTGGCTCACGACCACTATATTTCTCTCTGATCCATCTTCACGTCACCTTCTCCTCTATGTCCCTTCTCCAGTGTCTTATAAAGATGCTCATGGTTGGTTTTAGGACCCACCTGGACGATCTCCTCATCTCAAGATCTTTAACTCAGTTACTTCTGCAGAGATCCTTTTGTTAAATAAAAACATTCACTAGTTCTGAGGATTTGGACATGAACATATCTACGGCGGGGGGGCTGCCGATCAGCCTGCGACACATGGGTTGAGAAGGTCTAGTCTGCTTTCTGTTTTGGGACTCTGATATTTAGCTCTAGATCAAACTTCTGCTTATCTCTGGAACACAGAAGTCTTCACTTCAAATGCACTATATCAAAGAGCCCATTTGAAGTAACGTCATCAAGATGGTGACATAAATCAGTCCCAACTTCAGTGCCCGTCACCAAAAGACCAACTAGCAACTATCCACAGACATGACACCATCATGAAAATCCCAGACCCAAGGATATGAATGAAGCACCCCGATGGGCCACAGAGACTGAGATGGGTGACATAAGACAGGTAAGAGGAGTGGGTGCACTCTGCATCACCATCCACTCAACCCAGGCCAGCCTTACACTGCAGCAACAGAGCCACCCTGCTTTCTCCAGTAGAAAAAGGAAAGTCTAAGGTGGACATCCAGTTCCCCCAGTACTGCAGGACGCTTCCCAGAAATTCCACTACAGTAAACAAAACAGTATGGTATTGCTATTTAAAAAAACAAAAACAATACCAATAGAACAAATTGAAAGCCCAGAAACAAATCCACACATAAACAGTCAGCTAATATTTGACAAGAAAGCCAAGACTATTCAATGGGGAAGTGAAAGTCTCTTCAATACATGGTGTGGGGAAAAATGGATATTCATATGCAAAAGAACAAAACTGGGCCTCTATCTCACACTCACAAAAATTAACTCAAAAGGATTCAAGACTTACTTGTTAGGCCTGAATCTATAAAACTCCTAGAAGAAAACAGGATAAAAGCTCCTTGGGGCGTCTGGGTGGCTCAGTGGGTTAAAGCCTCTGCCTTCCGGCTCAGGTCATGGTCCCAGGGTTCTGGGATGGAGCCCCACATCGGGCTCTCTGCTCAGCAAGGAGCCTGCTTCCCTCCTCTCTCTACCTGCCTCTCTGCCTACTTGTGATCTCTGTCTGCCAAATAAATAAATAAAATCTTTAAAAAAAAAAAAAAGTTCCTTGACATTGGTTTTAGCAATGACTTCATGAATATGACACCAAAAGTATAAGCAACAAAAACAAAAATAAACAAATGAGACTACATCTTCTGTACAGGAAAAAAAATCAAGAAAATGAAAAGGCAGCCTACAGAATAGGAGAAAATATTTAAAAACTCATGTCTGTTATGGGTAAATGTCCAAAATATACATATAAAGAACTCAATATAACTCAAGAGAAAAAAAAAAAAAGCCCAAATAATCCTATCAAAAATGGGCAGAAGAACAGAATAGACAATTTTCCAAAGAAGATATTCAAATAGCCAACAGATAAATGAAAAAGTGCTGAACGTCACCCCCTCAGGGAAATGAAAATGAAAACCACAATGAGATATCGTTTCAAACCTCTTAGAATGGCCATAATAAAAAAGACAAGAGATAACAAGTATTGGCGAAGATGTAGTGAAAAGAGAACCCTTGTGACCTGTGCATAGGAATGTAAATTGGTACAGCCACCATGGAAGAGTATGGAGGTTCCTTAAGAGATTAAAAAGAGGAGACAATAGACCCCAAATGTAATCACAAGGTCCTTATAAGACCAAGGTCAAGGGAGAGACAAGGCAGTATGAGAGAAGCAGCAGCGGAGAAAAGACAATGTGATTCAGGCTCCCAAACCAAGGAATGAAGACAGCCTCCGGTAGACGGAAAAGGCAAGCAACAGATTCTTAAAATCTCCCAGCAAAAACCAGTCCTAACAAACCTTGATCTCGGGCCCTAAGTTTTATTCTGGACTTCTAATCTTCCAAACTGTAAAATAATACATTGAATTGTCTTAAGATACTATGTTTGTGGTACAGCAGTGAAAAAAAAAACAGTAACACCTAATAAAACTAGTATATATTCAAACCTTAGAACACATCAAGGGATCTCTGAGGTACTTTATATATATATATATAAATGCCGTGAACAAAAAAATAAGTAGGGAATTCAACAAATTTAAAAGTTAAATCAGGCAAAAAAAAAAAATCCATAGGTTAAATTTGCTATAGTCTTTGAGTTTTTAAAGTTTTCATCTTTGCTCTGTTATTTAACTCCTTCTGGGTAATGTCACCAGGTTTAAAAAAAACAAAAACAAAAAAACCTCTAAAAAGTCAAATTATTTCTTCGCAAAGAGCATGTTTACATTGAATAGTGGCACACCTGGATGAGATAGGACCCCGAGTAAAACTGTCCAAAGACTGTCCAGTTTGTTTTGATTTTCCCCTTAACCAAGATGCATCTGCCCAAACATGCAAACTCTCAGTGTGGTTAAGTGCAGGGAATCAGTATGGTTAGGAACTAAAATTTCTGGAGATCAGTGAATGACTGCTAAGGCTTGCAAAAGGAAGAAGTGACCAAGGAAAGTTTTGTTTTTCAAAAGTAAGTTCCTAAGACTAGAAGCTGGCATAGAAAAGAAGTGTGCAATGGATAATGAAGAACGAGGTGCTGTTGAAAACTCCAGGGCACCCCAGGGATTATGAAAGACCGAAGAAGAATGCCAATGCACAGCTAAGGTGAGTTTGTATGGAGAAGTTTTAAGGGCCTACAAGGAAATGATGCTGCCAAGCATTTCTGTACTCCTTGGATTAAAGACCGTATCACAATTTTGAAACCTAGTGTGGGCGTCCAATTCAAAACACACAAGGACAGGGGCACCTTGCTGGCTTAGTCAGTAGATAGAGGATGTGACTCTTGATTTCAGGGTTGTGAGTTTGAGCCCCATGTTGGGTGTAGAGATCACAAAAAAAATAAAATAAAATTTTAAAAAAATATATTAGCCAAAAAACACAAGGATAGTGCTCACTTTGACAGCAGATATACTAGAACTGGAACAATACAGAGAAGATTAGCATGACCCTGCATAAGGATGACACACAAAATACACAAGGACAAAGTGCTTTCCTGAATCACAGAGTAGGCTGTGTAGAAGATAATCATATAATCACTGAAGCCTAAAACCAAATATAAATATATTTCTAAGGATAACGAATTGATGTTTAAAATGTCCATAGCAAAGCTGAGAAGATTGTTTTACATTCTTCTTCCTCCTAAAAGAACACAATATTTTGAGTTTACACCAGAGTCATCCAACCTTTTATTAACTCATTCATCAAAAATTGGTTAAGACCTATGACGTGTTCATCACTAACTTACACTAAGGAACAAGCTATATGACAGACCTGTCTCTTTAAGAAGATGCCACCAGGTAAAGGAAAAAAATACCTAAGTTCCAAATATTGTAACAGAGGTTTAAACACAGGGTCTTGAAAAACAGAAGGAGAGGGTTCAGGGAGATTTCATTCCATCCAGTCAATGAGGAAGATGGATCTATAGGAAAGAGATCTGTACTATAGGAATCTCCATCCTATTATAGTGAATCAGAACAACCTTCTTAGAAGGCCGTCAGGGGCAAATGGACTTACGTACAGCAACAGTAAAGGGAGAAGAAAGCAAGCCAGCAGTTCTCACCATCATCCTGGCTCAAACAGGGCAGCACTGATAGAATCATGGGCAAACACACAATAAGACTCAATGAAACTATAATGTTCCAGGGCTAACCCAGCTAAAGATTCTTCTCTTGATACCAAGGGAAACACTCCAAAAGGGCATGGTACAATATGAAGAAGTGCAATGAACTCTCTTCTGACAAGGACCTTGTATTGTCAATGACTTAGGCTTTCCCAGCAGGCTGTGCCCCCAGAGCCAGACTCCAGTCTTGAAGAACCATTATTGGTTTTAATGCATGTTACCTATGAAGAAGAATGAGGAATCTCCTTCAGCTATCCAAAAATCTCCTGAAAACATAAGGATTTCAGCTAGAAGATACATAAATTCCTTGAAGTCAATGATCATGACTCAAAAGAACTAATCCTGGCATCAGCCTCCTATGCTACATTTTCAGCAAGGTGGCTGTGTTCTAGGAGCGGAGGCAAGGGTCCTAGCAGCAAATTTTGAGACCTACTCAGTCAGATACCTGCAGAAGACCTAGAAGAAGTATAAAAATGGATCCAATCTTGGAGAAACTATAGTCTGTTTATGGGGGAAAACACAAGAAAAAAAATCAAGTAGTACTGTAATATTATATATAATATATACTCTAAGTGCCGTGGGACCATGACAAATGGAAAGAGTCAGCGAGAATCTGTATAAGAAACCAGCCCAGAAGATCAGAAGATTTGTGTGTGAAGTATAAAATAATGTAGGTAAATGTGATGACATGTTTATACAGTTTAAAGTTTTCTGTATTAATTTTGTGCTAAACTAATTTTTCTCTATAATATAGGCCTATAAAAAAAATGAAAAGATCTCTATCCCAGCAAACAGAAGAGCAATTGAAATCTTCATGGTAAAATAAGAAAACCTTGAGAAAATGATTCTTAAACATAAGTAGCTACAGTGGATAGTGAAGAAAAATTCCTTTAAAATCTCAGACTTCAAAAAAATCCCTAATGTTTTCTTTTATGTTTCTTATACTTAAGAAAGTACTGATTAAAAGTTCCATATATAAATTATTCATCATACATGCAAAGCTACATACATATCCACCAATACAGCTTACTTTACAGGCAGTCGTTTATCAGTAAATAATGAGAGACACGTTCATCCTATAAAACGACAAAGCCTAAATACATTGAAAGAAGTACAGGACCACTTCCTGTTACTCAGGAGAGGAAAAAAGGCAATGTGAAGTCATTCAAGCAGAATAATAAGTAAACCAAAGCCAGATCAAAGGAATATAGAAGAAAGGCTGAAACATGAAGCTGAAATATTTATTTCCTTCAAAACATCATCTATGCCTTGTCCCTGGGCAGTTCAACATTTCAAAGTAGGTGGAAAATATTCTCACTTACATTCATCACTATGCACAAGTAGATCAAATTTTAAATAGGCAAATTTTCTCTTTATTTACCAAACATAAATGTAATATTTATCATTGGGAGTTTTTTTGCTTATCAGAAATGATTTCTAAATTATATGAAATAATTATAAAGTCATAATAGACACTTTTCAGTACTTCCAATGGATGAAGCTGCTACAAACGATAACATTCATGGTGTAAGCATAATTTTTAATGTCTTCACAAATGATGAAACAGAGGGAACATTTGTTGAATGCTCACTATGCTCATTGGTTTGGGGTAGTTCATGAACTATTTCATTTCATTTTTAAACCGATATGAAAGTTATCACTTACCTTTTTCCACCAGTGAAAATAAGGAAGTTTAGAAGAGTTAAGTGATTTGCCCAAGTATTTACAGAATCAATGGCAGAATGAGAAATTAAAGCAGCCCAAAGTCCAAAGTCATTCTACTACATCATGCTATTTCTTTAAACCTGTTTGTGTGTTTACATCATGCTATTTCTTTAAACATGTGTGTGTGTATATATACACACACACATGCGTATATATAATATACATAACTAAATCACTGATGTTAATTGGTTGAACTTACAAGTAGGTGCTTACTTATTATCCTCACATAACATATTTGCAATATCAAACCACTTTCAGAACATTTGAAAGCTAAAATATTTATCAAGTATTTACTTAACACCTATTGTATGCCAGAATCTGTGCTTGGTGTTGAAAATACAAAAATGATCAACACACTGTTCCTGCATCCAATATAGAAAAGAAGACAAACTCTATACCACTCTCGGTATGATAAAAGCTACACAATAATATGAACATAATACGAACAAATAAGAACTGGAGGAATTCATTATGCCTAGGGTAAAACAGAAAAGCTTCATAAAGGGCAGGTCATTTGGTAAGATCGTCACAAAGAATGTTGAAGAGGTGTAACATATACATATATATGTTTTTTAACTGTGTATTAAAATGTATATGTATTTGTAAAATACATATTTTTATTTGATATTTGTAAAATACCTTTTATTTTCCTCCTTGCCATCATACTTTCCATGAGAAGAGCAAATCTCCGTCAGAAGATTCTTATTTATTTCAAGGGAAAGATGAACATGGTAGAGGTAAGAGATTTCTAAATATGAAGTTTTGTTTCAGATATAATAAAATATGCAACCATTTTTGCTGATTATAAAAACACACACTCTTATCAATAAGTGTATAAAAGTGTATTAGCTGGATTTATGTTAGTTTTAAGAAATCAATCTTTATTTATAAACAAAAATCACCCATGTTTTACTCACCATTTCTCCCTACCTCATACTACACTTTTCCAAAGGCTCCAGTGGTTATCTTATATGTGATTAGCAATAAGTTCAGTCACTGTTAATCTGCTACCATGTAGTATTTATTAATTCATTTACCATTAATGTCATAAGCTCCCATTATGTGCCAGGCAACTTGCTAGATGTTAAAATAACACCAGTGAACCAACCACACCCAGTTCCTATGCTAAGGGAGCTTTCAGTCTAGCAAAGAGAAAAAGACACTGAATTAATACAAATGAGAACAATGAAAATTCCATTCAATGACCAAAAAAGAAATACGGAGTATTAAGGTTTATACAAGAGGGTGAAAAACCTTAACCAGGAATTAGGATGAAAGAAAGTGATGTTAAAGTTAACTGAATTTGTATGCTGATTATACTTCAATAGAAAATAATTTTTTAATGGAAAAATGAAACTTAACTGAAGGGTGAAGAGGACTGGATCCTCTTACCGTACCCTGCAGGGTAGGGTATTCCAGCACAAAGGATAACAGAGAAGCTGCAAAACGGCTAAATCAGGGAAGAGAACAGGGGCCAAGATGGCAATGCAGGGAACAGAGAGAAAAGGACCTGTGATAAGGCTGAGAAGTACCCTGTCATACTGAAATTCTAGAGAGAGAACTTTCATAGCTTTGTAGAAAAACTACATTGTATGAAATGAAAAGTGTAATGGATAGGATTACAGGCACTGCTGAAGAAAAGGTTCATGAACTTAAGACTTAGCAGTGAAAACTAACCAAAACAAAGCACAGAACAAAAAACAGAATAATAAAAAACAAAGCATTGGTGACAACTGCCAGCAACCTAATATTTATATATTTAGAGTTACCCTTAAAGGAAAAGAGAGATGGGGGACAGAAAAATATTAGAAGAAATGATGGCCAAAAGCTTTCCAAATTTAATTAAAATTATAAATCTACAGATCCAAGAACTCCAAGAACTCCAAGATCTCCAAGCATAAGACAAATAAAACTACATGAAGGCACAACATAATCGATTTACCCCAAAATCAATGACCAAAAAAAAAGAATCTTGAAAACAGCTGGAAAAAAAGACATGTTCCAGAGGAACAAAAGTAAGGAGAGCAGCAGATTCCTGGCAGAAACAAGGCAAGCAAGAAGACAATGAGGTGACATCTTCATGAAGGCAAGAACAATTCAGTATTAGATGATCTAATAATGATTAGATTACCTGGGGCACCTGGGTGTCTCAGTCAGTTAAGAGGCTGCCTTTGGTTCAGGTCATGATCCCAGGGTCCTGGGTCCCTGCTCAGCAGGGAGCCTGCTTCTCCCTCTCCCTCTGCCTGCCACTCTGCCTACTTGTGCTATCTCTCTGTCAAATAAGTAAATAAAATCTTAAAAAAAAACAATGGTGATTAGATTACCTAATCCCCAAATGACCAATAAAATTGATAATCCTCCAGCCAGACTGATTAGGAAAGAAAGACAATACAAATCAACATTACAAATGAGAGAGGTTCTGCACTGAGAGTCTACACATATTAAAAGGACAAGAAGGCATATTATGAAAGAAAGAGAAAAGAGAAGTTTAATCCATACTTCCCAGCACATACAAAATTAACTTTAAAAAATGGATCACAATCCCAAATGTAAAACCTGGAACTATAAGCTTCCAGAAGAAAACCTTTGCGATCTGGGATTAGGAAAAGACTTCTTAGATGTGATCCCAGAAGGACCATCTGTGAAAG